ATCACTGAGCATTTCCATGACTACCTGTTCCACGCACCACACTTCACCATCTACAGTGACAACAACCCACTCACCTATGTGACCAAGTCTGCAAAACTCAACGCCACCAGACACCGCTGGGTTGTAGAGCTGGTAGACTACAGGTTCACACTGAAGTACAGACCAGGAACAAGCAAAAGAGTCTCTGACTTTCTGTTCACGCAGACCAAAGCCCATTGAAAACATAATTCAAGAATGCAATGAGGAATGTGAACCAGACGTCATGGAGAGCATCAGCAAGGCCCTCAAAACCAGCCAAAGAAATGAAATAAACTAGATTTCTACTGTCACCTGCAATACTGAGGTCCTACTTCAAGAGGTTGGATGCTCTATACCACCTACTCACCCTCTCTCCACCAAAGACATCAAGGCCAAAAAAGATACAGTTCCAGTCATCCAGAGAGTCTCAAATCTGAAAAGAAAACACTCGTATCTGAAACGCAAGGACAAAGCAGCTGAAAATGAACATGTGAGAACATTGCTGAGTGAGTGGCCAAGACTAATTCTGGAAGAAGACGGACTGTTGTGGAGAAAAACAAGTGGCAGAACTCAACTGGTGGTGCCAGAGTCCATGAAGTTCCTGGTGTACAAGTACTGCTCTGGCCCGAGAAGGCTTCTTCTGGCCAAAGATGAGGCAGGAGAAGAAGCATTATGTCATGCAAGTCTGTAAAAAACTGATCATGTTCATTGTATTATATGTTGTTTATGGGTAGAACAGTGCAACACAAATGGCTGGAAATTTTGCATAAGAGCACTAGCTGTTTTTTTTGCTCTTGAAAAAAGGAATCAAAAATGAAATAATAGAACCATATTCAAGAAAGGTGATCAAATCTTTTCAAACCCAGAAGAAATGTGTAAGTATGTGGAGCAATTCTACACTGATGTTTATAGATCAACTCTACAACCTGATGTGTCTGAGGTCTTCACTGAATCAATAAAAAACATATTCCACGTATATCAGACACTTTCAAATGGCACTGTGAACAACCAAGAACAAAAACACAAATAATAGAAACAGTTCAAACTTCAAAAATCACCTGAAAATGATGGTCTGTCAGTTGATTTCTATCAATTTTTAGGCCATAATGGAACAGGCCTTGTTGGACGCACTAAAGAACTGTATCAAAGAACAAGAACTGACCAATACAATGAAACAAGGAATGAGATGTTTGATTCTAAACCCAGTAAAGAACCTTTATTGATTGAAAACTGGACACCCACAACATTATTGAACGTGGACTACAAATATTTATGAACCATTAACTCATCATTTAGTCAAAATTGTAATTATTAGTACATGAGACGTTCATGATTCATAAACATTTGTAAATTGTTTGTAGATGATGAATTAATCCATTTCCATCACATTTCTAAGGAAGTACACTGAGTACTCATGTTTTAAAAATGAGTAAGAACACTTTTTGTCCACATTTGTAAATTATTGTTTAACACTTGCAGAGAAAAGATAAATGGTCAAAAAGTATTTCTCTTTCTGTTGCCATGTTCTACAGATATCATCAGTGACAATAATGTACAGTGGATTTGACCAAGGAGGGATGGAATATTCTTTAGACTGCAGTAAAATACATGAAGCTTTTGAAAACATTTCTATACAAAGAGTCGACTGTAAACCTGAGATCACTTTTTAAAATCACACTTATCTGTTTTTACAAATGAACTCTTCACTTGTTAATGGGTCATTTTCAGTAAATGATGAGTTGATGGTGAATAAACATTTCCAAATGA